GACACTAAAGAGCTCTGCTCCGCAGGGCCGGCTCTTGCTGGGAGCTGTGCCTGGCTGGCAGCACACACAGCAGCAGTGTTTCAGTGCAGAGGACACCGGTGTTTTTCCCACCAGAGTTGCTGCAAGGGCACAAGATGAAAGCCCTTTTATTGCCAAGGCTCCAGGTAGATCCCTTAAGCAGTTTGTGTGCCAGCCTCAGCAACAGGAATGCAGACAGTGCTGTCCCTGCAGCGAGGAGTCAGGATCCGCACAACGAAAAAGCAGAGGCATGGGATGGGGGTTTCCAAGAGCTCCTTTTCTCCAGGACCCCCAGCTGGGGGTTTCAGTGATCTGTGTTTTGCTTTCAGGGAACGGCCTCGCATCCGTCTCTCCACTCTGGACATGTCCAGGCTGCGGGGGCTGCCGGATGGCTCGCTGGGCCGGGAGTACGTCCGGTTCTTGGAGGTCAATGTGAGTGTGGGGTTTCATGGCAGATTTCTGTGGCTGATCCTTGTGCTGGGAGCACAGGTGTGCTTTAGATGGAGATTGGAGCCACGGAGTTGAGTTGGTCCTCTTTGGATTTTGCAGAAGGTTTCTCCAGACACCCGGATGCCACCCAAGTTTGTTGATGATGAAGAGCTGGCCTATGTGATCCAGAGGTACCGGGAAGTCCACGACCTGATGCACACCCTCCTGGGCATGCCAACCAACATGCTGGGTGAGCAGCACAGGCTCAGGGGGCTGCACTGCCAAACACCACCGATGCTTCTCAGCTGCCTCTCCCAGGAACGGAGACTCCTTGATCCTCAGCCCAGTTTGGTGTGTGGGGAGGTTTGCATCATCACTGTCCTGCATCACTGGCTCCGTGGTGACCAAGGGGTCATGGGATGTCACCTTTTCCCTGCTGGGAGGTGCTCTGCCCAAGCCCTGGGCGCAGGCAGCTGCTGGGTGGGTGGTTGCTGCCTGGCAGGGAGGGTGGCACAGAAGGATGTTTCGCAAGCTCTGTGTGAAGGCAGAAGGGGGCTCCTTGTTTCTCCTTCTCTGCATGTCTCCATGCCCTTTGCCCTCGTTTTGTGTCTGACTCAACAGCAAGTCACAAGTGGAGTCTTACTGGTACTTGTGGGAACTGGTGTGACAGGTCTCCTACACCAGCTTTGGCTGAGCCCCAGCGGCTTTTGTAAAAGGCCTGTCCTGTGCTGGGAGACCAAGAGAGCCACCCAGGCAATGGCATTGCTGAAGATCTGCAGGGAGTTTTCCTGCCTGTTCCCCAAGCTCACTGAGTGCTGTCCCTTTGGGGTGGGTGGTGTGTGACAAGGCTCATCCTGGCACAGAACGAGGCCACAGCCAGACTTGGGAAGCATTCCCAGTAGCCATCCTCGGGAAGGGCAGATGTGCAGCCTGCGTTGCAGGCCCTCAGGGCTCTGTCCAGCCCTTGACCCCGGTGTTCTGCCTGCTCATGGCCTCCCTGCTCCCTCGCAGGTGAGGTGGTGGTGAAGTGGTTCGAAGCCGTCCAGACGGGGCTGCCCATGTGTGTCCTGGGAGCGGCGTTCGGCCCCGTCCGGCTCAGCGCACGGTAGGTGCCCGGCTCTGCCCTGGGGATGTGCCAGCCTGGGTGGTGCTTCCCTGTGATCCTCTGGGGATGAAGAGGGGACACTGCTGTTTTGCAGGGGGGAGTCAGTCCAGGGTCCCTCTTCCCCAGGGAAGCAGTGACAGTGGGAGGCACAGCCTTGCCTGGTCACTAAAGCAGAACCTGATGCCTAATCTGCATTCAACACCAACCCCCCTGTGCCAGGCAGGAGTAATTTCCAGGCCTTGGCATGTGTTGAGGGCCAACAGGGCCCTCACTACACTGAGAGCTGTCCCCTGCCCCTGCACATCTGTTTTGGTGGCCCAGCAGTTGCAGAACCTGAGTTTTGGTCTTGGGTTTGGTGCTGACTGTAACCCTCCTGGCACACCATCCTCTGTGCCTCAGTTTTCCTTGTGAGTTAAGCAGAGGGGATGCCAGGAAGATAGAGGGATACATGAGACACATGGGTTTGGTACCTCCCTGCAATGGGAACTTGGAGAAGGAAATCAAAACCAAAGTATGGATATCAAAACTGCCACCGCCTGTATTGTTTGTTCCAGAAAGCTGCAGGTCCTGGCCACCGAGCTGGTGCCCTGGGCGATCCGGAGCGGGCTCAATGCCAGCTGTGTCCTGAATGTCTACTACGAGCAGCGCTGGGAGCAGCCAGTGGAGTCCCTGCGGGAGGAGATCGGCATCTTCCCCCCGCCAGCCGTTCCAGTGTGAGAGTTTAGGGAGGGCACAGGGGATCCCGGCTGGCAGACAACAGCTCTTCCCTGCCCCGCTCCTTATCCAGCGCAGTGTGGCTTCATGGACCTGAGGGCTGAGTTTTCTCCTGCCAAGAGCTGGCACCATCCTGTTGGTAGAGGCCAAGTGGCACCTCCTTGTGCTGGTGCCAAAAACTGGACCTTTTTTGCTGTTTGTCGTTTTGGTTCGGGGATGTGAAGCCCTGATGTGCCTTTGCCAGCTGGGTCTGGCTGCTCAGGTTCCCTGGCAGCAGCATTCTGGTACTGATGCTCCCAAATGCTGGGGTGGAGAGGGAGCACACTGCAGCAAACTGGTGCCTTGGCCTTCTGCCTCTCTGGGCCTGGACAGCTAAATCCTTCCTCCCACCTTCCCCAGGAAGATCAAGGCTTAAAATCTTGGGGCTGCCCTGGACTGGAGCTAAACTGGTGATTTCCAAAGCAGCGCAGGGGCAGGTTGGGTGTGTGCAGTGGTGACATCCCATCTTGTACTGGTGCCTAACTGGTCTCCTGTTGGGTCATACGGGATGTGCTTCACTCACACCTTGGAGACCAGGCAGCGTGTGATTGTGTGCCCATGGGGCCAGGCAGGGAAATACCTTTGGATATTATCCCTGCTGGATTGGCTGTTTGAGAGCCGATCCCAGTCTGCCTTCCAATCAAAAATTGTGAAATCCACATGATTGTGCTGAGTTTTCAATAGGAATCATTCCCTCCTTGGGCAACAGTACGACACAATTACGAATAAGGGGTTGGCTCCAGAGACTTCTGGAATGGCAGCTGCTCGTGCTGTGTCTGTGAGCTGATTGCTGTCTGGGTTAATTAACAGGGCTCCAGACTGCCAGCAGCCAGGGAGCAGAGTTGCTGGATGTGAGGGCAGAGAGCCACCAGGCCAGGGGCTCTTTGTACGTGTGTGTTTGCTGTTGAAATTCTTTCTTGCTTAATAAAATCCACGGTGGAGTTTGTGGTTCGTTACCCCTCTCCTGTCCCTTCTCCCCTTCCTGAGGGGATGATCTGTTGTGGAAGCTCACCCTTTTTTGGCTCCAGCAGGTTCTGCTGTGGTGGTAGATGATGTCAGGGCATGTACATGGCCACACATCCCTGGGGATCAGGACACAGAATGGACTGTGGATTTCCAGCTGGGATTTGGGGATGCTGGGCTGTTAACTGGCTCCTTGTGATGATTGTTACAGAAGGGCCCAGACAGGGGAGGATTGGGGTACAGAGCAGGGGGAGGCTGAGGGCTTCCTAAAGTGATCCTGATTCCTTGGGGGGGGAAGGAGAGTGCTCTTTCGGTGGCAAATGGGAGATATGGGATTGCCCTGCTGCCAGCTTCACTGGCCCTGTCCCAGTCTCCTGTGGGATGCTGGAGCAGAGGGGCAGGAGCAGGGGCTGACAGGATGACCAGGAGTCAGAGTTGCTCCATCCCAGGGGAACAGAGTAGGGGGAAAACTCTTGGGGTTTACACTACATTTAAGAGCAGACCTGGGAACAGAGGGACTGGCTTCCTTTCTATCCCCCCAGACTCCCTGTTTTTAACTCCTCCCTCCATCATCCCACCAGCCAGACTTTGGGGTTTTGTCCAAAGCCTACCCGTGATCCCCAGAGTTATTTCAAGCAGATGCTAAAGGACAGCATATAAATACATCCTTCAGCTGCTGGCAAAACACACAGCGTGGGGGTTGTCCTAGTGCAGTGGTCGAGATGAAAGGAACATTTGCCTCTAAAGTGACCCAGAAACGTGCTTTTCTGCATAGGAAACGTGTCAGAGCCTTGGGGTGGATAAACCGAAGGGCAGCAAAGCTTCGCTTCCAGAAGCTGCGAGCAGCAGTCAAGGAAACCGTGGGAAGTGATGGCCGCGAGAGAGGGTTTTGCTGCGTTTGGGGTTATTTAGAGCGGCCATGCAGTGATGGTGGTGCCGCCTTCGCGCAGCCACGTGTGGCTCGGTGGGCTGGTGCCAGCGCTACAGAAATGGCTCGTCATGTAATTTTAAAGGGCATCTGCTCAGCCCGGATCATGTAACGGCCTCCGCGGCTCCTGCTCCCGCCACCGCCGCTTGTGGAGCCTGCGGGAAGGAAGGCGGCGGGGGGGGAAGAGGGATGGTGGTGTGATTCTGGGAGGGCAGACACCAGCCACGTGAAAATGCTTTTTTTGGAGGGGACATCTTCGCTGTGGGCAAGTGGCAGCTCCACCATGGCTGTGCGGTGACGCGATAAGAATAACTCCCGAAAAGCTGGGAGCGATGCCTCGTTACTGATCCGTGGCAGGGCTGCACCCAAGGCTTCCCATTCGCGGGCGGCTCTGGCCCGGGTGCCAAAACGTGGCTCCCCGTGCACGGTGTCCCGGGGGCGAGCGGTCCCAGCGCGGCGGCAGCGCCCCGGGGGCGTTCGCGGGGTCCCCCCGGCGCGTTGAGGCCGCGGAGCCCCCGGCAGCGATCGCCGCGCCCCGGCGGCAAAATGCGACTCTGGTGGGACTCGAACCCACAACCTTTGAATGACTCCCGTCACACAGCGCTAGAAGTCCAATGCGCTATCCATTGCGCCACAGAGCCCTCGCTCTGCCGCGCCGCCCTCACCGCCTCTTGCAGCCGGCGCAGCGCCCGCCCCGCCCGCGCCGCTGCTCCCCGGGACCGCGCCCGTCTCCGCGGGGCCGGGCCGGTGCACCGGGCGGGACTACAGCTCCCGGCGGCCCGCGCTGCCGCCCGCCCCGCCCCGCCCCGTGCCGCAGCGCCGGGCGGGCCCCGCTCCTGCTCCCGGCGCAGGTGGCCGGGCCGCAGCGGACGCCCCGGAGCCCGGTAAGAGCGCGGCACCGGCTCCCCCCCTGCCGCTCCGTCAGCTGCTGGCGCCGGCTCCCCGCGGGCGGCCCGCGGGCTCCTCGTCGGGCGCCGCGGCCCTGCGGGCGGTTCCGGGGTCGCTCAGCCCCCGCTGTCTCCGCATGAGGTACCGGGGCTCCTTGTGGGGCACCGTGGGCGGCACCGGGGCCCCTCAGCCCCGCGGGGTCCCCGAGGGCGCGCTGCGGGTCCCCGCCCGCCGAGAGCGGCTCTGCCCGCGCGGTTCCGGGGCCTGGCCGGGTTGGGGTGGAGGGACCCGGCTGCGTCGTGGGGCGAGGCCCTCCCGGCCCTGCTGCCCCGGGGGATGGGGCTGGGGCAGCGCTGCTCGCCCTCCCTGCTGGGGACCCTGCCGAGGGCAGGTGGGGAGGATAGGGGGACAGGGACCCTGCCCAGGGCAGGTGGGGAGGATAGGGGGACAGGGACCCTGCCCAGGGCAGGTGGGGAGGATAGGGGGACAGGGACCCTGCCCAGGGCGGGTGGGTGAGATAGAGGGACAGGAACTCTATCCAAGGCAGGTGTGGGGACAGGGACTCTGCCCAGGGCATGTGTGGGGACAGGGATCATGCACAGGACAGGTGCCTCCCCAGATGCCATTAGCACTAAGGCTTCTCAGAGCCTGGTTGTCTGCTGTAGTCCCCTAATGTGACCCGCTCCCCGGGCCCTCCTCGGGCTCGGTGCCCCCGGGGTGGATCCCCACGATTTGCCTCCGTGCCTGCTGGCTGTGAGCTACAGGCAGGTCTTGGTTTTCTCTGTGCTGATGCAGCTGGACAAGACCTGAATCTGTAACGCAGGGCTGGAGGTCTCTGGCAGCGACACACCGGGTATCTCTCGGTAATCTATCTCTGCAGGAGGCACTGGGATGCCGGTGCGAGGTGGAGATGTGAGCAGAGGATAACAGGGACCTGCCTGGGCCTGTCTGGCTTTCAAGCGGGAGATTAAGCACCTTGCTGCCCACACAGAGTGTGGCTCCCCCGCTGCTGGCTCTCCACATCTGTCTGTCTGTCTGGTGAGAGCCTGTAAGGAAGAGCCCAGGTCTTGGCTGAGCTACAGTAGTTTGATGGTGATCTAAAAGTTGCCCTGTGTAAGTGGAGAGAGAGGCTACCAGGTGAAAACACAGAGAGTCCTGCCATGCTGAAAGGCAAAGGGACTGTGTTGTGGGACATCAGGCCAGGGAGGTGTTTGGCAGAGAGAAAGGCCACTGGCACGATGGGGGATGTCAGGACAGGGGCTGCAGGTGGGAGGACGTTCCCAGGTCCCCATCTGTGAGCAGCATCTTGTGCTCTGGTGCATCCCAGCCTGCTGCCAGTGACCTGGCTCAGAGGGGGGACAGCCGGTGTGACATGCCAGGACACAGCAACCACGCGGCACTGCCTTGGCTCCCACCCTGCCAGCATCTGGTACCAAATCCACAGAGCCTTCCCCAGGCCTGGGGGCACTGCATGGAACAGAGGGAAAGCCACGAGTGTGGCTCCAGTGCCACCAGCTGTGGCAGAGCCCACTCAGGGCTTCCAGGTCCAGAGCAGGGAATCCACCTTCGAGAGGGAAATGGAAATGACGTGGTGTTTCCTTCCCCTTCGTCCCTGCCAGGAAGGGGCAGTTTTATCTAGAAGCCCTTGAGCTGCGAGGGTCACGTTGCTGTCACTTTCCTCCTCCCAGTGCTGTCCCCTGAAAAGAGGCTTTGCTAGTTCAGCCTCCTGCGAGTCTCAGAGCCACATCTGGGGTGTGTTTGGGACGGGGACAGACGTGCTGCTTTTTGGGGACAAGTACCACAGATTAAGTCACTGTCCCCAGGGCATGGGACACGGGTCTGGGTACTTCTGGCAGCAGTGACAGCCCTTGTTCTGCCCACTCCAGCCTGGCCCCATCCCTGATGTGCTCTGGCAGTGTCTCCAGCAGAGACAGGCCAGGAAGCTGCCCGCCAACATGAGGGTTTACAAACACAAGCAGAGTTCAAAGGGCTGAGTTTCCTGTCCCTGATCCTGTCTGAGCTGTGTTGGGGGTGTGTGAAGCTATGCTCTCCCAACAGCCATGCTGGCTCTCCTGGAGCCAGGTGTGCAGGAGAGCTCATGCTGGGGGTTTGGGGACAGAAGGATCTCTGGGGTAGGGAGGAATTTGGAGCTGGCCTTTGCCAGGCTGAAAGTGAGGGGCTGAGACAGCCCTGCCTGGCATTCCCCTGGACGCTGCCAAGCATCTGTACAAGATCTCCTGCTATGACTGTGCTCTCACTTCCATGGAAGTGACTTTATCCTGCACCTCATGCTGCTGGGACGTGGCCATGCCCCTGAGTGATGTGCAGGATGTGGCTCCCCAGGTGGGAATGTCCAGGTTCTCAGCTGGCACCAAGCGGTGCCGTGCTGGTGACTCAAGTGGAGGCCATTTCAAAGGTCAGATAAAGTTACATCTGTGAGAGCTCTGGGCTGCTGGGTTACATCCTCACTGCCAGGAGGAATGATGACTCAGGGACCTCATCCAGGAAATCGGGGGCTGCTCAGGCATCCCCCACCCACTGGTTTGTAATCCTCAAGTCCAGCGTGCGTGGGTTGATGGCCGTGGTTTCTCTCTGCCCTCAGGCCATGATGCTGCGTCTGGCTGCTTTTGCAGCGGTGCTGCTGTTCCTCAGGGTCACTTTGGAACTGTCCTGGGCCCAGGCCATCCCCGCTCTCTTCATCTTCTACCTGGGATCCGGCGGATGGGACTTCTTCCTCATATTCCTCAAGACCATACGAAGGGACGTCACGTAGGTGTCCTGGCTGGGATGGCCCAACCATCCACCCTCCCCCCCGGCCCTCTGCTCTGCCCTGATGTGTGTGAGCACAGCCCCCAGCTCCTTGCACAGCCCTGGGTTTCTGCTGGCACCTGGCCCAGCTGGAAGGAGATCTCCCTCTGCCGTGCCCCGGCGGCTCCAAACTCTTGGGCAAAGTTTTCCCAGGAAGGATAGATTTCAGCTGAGCTGAGAGTCTACTGACTGCCCTTGTACTTCACCCTGTCCCCAAAGCTGCTGGTGTGGCACCAGGTGCAGGGTTCATTCTGAGCTGGTACCAGGCTGTGCCAGCTCCTGGCAAGGATTTGTGGGGAGGGAGGAGTGGCACCTTTTGGAGAGCAGCTGAAGCTCAAAGATGCCCCTTTGATCAGGGACATCCCTGTCTGCAGCCTTCCCAAACACATCTCTCCCTGGCCTCCATCGGTCCCTGGCTATGAGCATCTTTGTAAATGAGCTCTGCCTGTGTCCACACTGCTCAGGGGAACACCCAGAGCTGCTGCTGACCTAGAGGAGGGCTTGGAGTGGTGCTGGGCTGTTGCAGCTCCTAGGAAGGTCCTCACACTGTGCTGTCTTTGCTGGAGAAAGTGGTTTTACAGGGGTCACTGAGCAGCTGCCCTCTTGCTCCCCTTCCTTTGGCAGCACGGGGCTGGTCCTGTTGCGGGTGAAGTGGCAGGTATGGAGGCACGTGAGGGAGAAGAACACAATTGCCAAGATCTTCCAGAAGACTGCGAGGAAGTATCCAGAGAAGACAGCGCTGATCTTCCAAAGCACGGGGGAGAGCTGGACCTTCCGGCAGCTGGACGAGTACTCCAACCAGGTGGCCAACTTCTTCTACGGCCAAGGCTTCCGCTCTGGTGACGTGGTGGCCCTCTTCATGGAGTCCCGCAATCAGTACGTGGGGCTGTGGCTCGGCTTGGCCAAGATCGGGGTGGAGACGGCCCTCGTCAACTCCCACCTGCAAATGGAGGCCTTGCTGCACTGCATCACCATCTCCAACTCCAAGGCTGTGGTTTTTGGGGTGGAGATGATGGAAGGTGAGGGGCTGGCAGATCTTTTGGGGGTGCTTTGGACTGCAGGGAGGTGCGTCTAGTCTATGGGTTCAGTGTTCCTTTCCTGCCCACCACAGAGCAGAGATCTGGAAGGGAGTGGGCAGTTGAATCATCCCAGGAATTAGATCTGGTTTTGTGGGGTTTTTTTCTCATTGGTTCTTTTGGACACTGGGCAGGATGTGGAGTGCAGTGCTGTCTGCCTCCCAAGCAGGCCAGCCTGGGTGTGAGGATCCTTCCTTGTGCCCCTCGGGTCCATCCCTGACACAGAGCCCTGGGCTGGGCTAGGCCTGCCCTTGCTGCACAGGAGGAGCCTCTCCTTGCTCTCCATGGCTGTTACCACATCCCTGCAGCACCTTGGCTCCAGCTCCTTGTGTGTTTCAACCCACACCTCTCATGTTGATGGTGTCAACAGACCTCTTGGCACCAAAGAAGTTTTGGATGGGGAAAGGTGGAGAACAGGATCTTCTGGTCCCTGAAGAGGCCTGGGCTGTGGCCCCAGCACCTCGCAATGATGGGAACATCTGCCTGGGATGGCTGTGAGCCCTTCGGGGACTCTGCCAAGCACAGTGGGGGTACTGCTGCCTGGGGCTGCATCTCCCTAAGGCTGGAAGGGCAGGGGTCTCTGTCCTGTAACCACCCAGCAATCTTTCTCCAGCTCCCCTCTTTACTTTCTTAGCAATGCAGGAAGTACAGTCCTCCCTGGACAAATCCATCCAGCTCTTCTGGTCCGGGGAAGGAAGTCCCAAATCCGTGCTTCCTGGTGCAAAACACCTGGACCCCCTCCTGCAGATGGCCCAGCGACACCAGCCACCCACCCCTGACAAGGGCTTTCTTGGTACGTGGTCAGCTCTTGGGGGCCAATCCCACAGTGGGGTTTTTGTGGATCAGCTGGTTACAGCCCTGGCAAGGTCGTCTGCTTAGGATGCCAGTGGCATGGGGTGTTTGGGATGGGTCTTACTCCAGTGTCCGAAGCCCAGCCCTGTGTGGAGCAGTATCCTGTCGTGCCCTCCCTGTGTCCAACAGACCTGATCTGCCTGGGGTGATCCCGGCAATGTTAGTGCTGTCACATGAGGGTTTTGGCCCAACTGGCACGAGCAGAGTGTATAAATTTTGCTCGTCCCTCTCTCCTGGTTCAGCCAGCTCCCAGATTGGGAATGTGACTCTGTTTCCTCATTGCTCCCCAGATAAACTCTTCTACATCTACACCTCTGGCACGACGGGGCTGCCCAAGGCTGCCATCGTGGTGAACTGCCGGTAAGGCCGTGGGCAGGGGCTCAGGGGAGGACGGGGCTGAGCTCTGCCCTGTCCTAGCACAGCACCTCCGGCCCTGCGCCTGACCTGCCTCTTCACCCTCCCACAGGTACTTCCGCATGTCCAGCTTAGTTTTTTATGGTTTTGGGATGAGGTCTGACGATGTGATATACGACTGCCTCCCGCTCTACCACGCTGCAGGTAACGTGTGCCACACAGAGCCTGGCATCCTGGGACTGTCTCTTCCCTAAGCCAAGTCCAGGGCTCAGGCTAGGGGCTGGCATAGCAGCAATCTCCATGCTGAGGAGGAGCTGCCTGCTGCTCACAGTGCACCACTGAGGCTTTCTGTTTTTCCCTGGGAGCCAGGAATCGATCTGGCTGACCTTTGGAGTGGGGAGTGTGTGGGGTGGGCATTACCCCAGCTCCTATCTTGGCTTCAGAAGAGCTGTTCCTTGTTGCTGTTCCCTGTGGAAAGCTGGGGGGTGGAGAGTCAAGGGGAAGGGGAATTAGTGCCTGGCTGGCTGGCTGAACCATGCTGGGATGTTTAGGTGCAAAGTGCTGCCCCACATCTCACTGCCATGTGTCTCCTCTCCTGTGCCAATGATCCTGAGGGATTTGGCTGGGTGAACCCCACTGCTGTGAGCCAGCCATGGCCTCTGCCTTGCCCTGCCAGGCCTCTCCTCAGCTGGCTGGACTGGAGGTGTGTGGGGACTGAGGGCTTTCCTGGCTGCCTCTCCACAGGGAACATCGTGGGGATCGGGCAGTGCCTCCTGCAGGGAATGACGGTTGTCATCCGCAAGAAGTTCTCAGCCTCGCACTTCTGGGAGGACTGTGTGAAATACAACTGCACGGTGAGGCTGTGAGGCAAGAGGCCAGCCAGGAGTGGGGAGCAGAGCCTGGGGATCTGCGCTGTGCTGGGGAGAACCCAACTTGGAAGAGGGAGAGGCCTGGACTGGTTCTGCCTGTCCATCCCACACCGCCTTCCAAGGTGGTGGGGCTGTGTCCTTCCCACCTGGGCTGGTAACTCCATGTGTCCAAGCCCTTCCCATGCTCCAGCATTAGCCAGGAGATATCTGATGGGTTTCACAGCCTGGAGGGGTGGGTTAACCAGAGAAGGGCAGGCACTGGATTAGCTCGCAGGACTGCTGGGTTTTGCCATGGCCTCTTTAGGGGACTTAGGGCCTGTTGTGCCATTCCTATCCGCCCTGAAGAAACCCCAGCCACCCCAGGGCCTGGCAGAGGGGTGCTAGTGAGCCTTTCCTCTCCGTTGCTCCCAGATTGTGCAGTACATTGGGGAGATCTGCCGCTACCTGCTGAACCAGCCGTACCAGGACGCGGAGCGGCAGCACCGGGTGCGGATGGCGGTGGGCAATGGGCTGCGAGCCTCCATCTGGAGGGAGTTCATGGCCCGCTTCGGCATCGCCCAGGTGGCCGAGTTCTACGGGGCCACCGAGTGCAACTGCAGCCTGGGAAACTTCGACGGCAACGTAAGGCCTGTCCCTCGTGTTCCAAAGGGTGACAGCTGGTCTGGGCAGGGAGCATCTGGAAACCCAGATGGGCTGTTTGCTCCAAGAGGCTTGGCATGGGTTGCCATCCACCCAGAAGGGTTTTGGCTGTTGTGTGGTGCCAGCTCTGGGGTATCCTGGGTGTGTGGGGGCAGCAGGCTCGGGCAGGACAAGTGTCCCTGCTACCCACAGCTCTGAGCTCTTTCTGTTCTAGGTTGGGTCATGTGGCTTCAACAGCAGGATCCTGCCAGGTGTGTACCCCATCGGCTTGGTGAAGGTGGATGAAGACACTATGGAGCTGATCCGGGGGCCGGATGGTGTTTGTATCAGCTGTAAACCAGGTGAGGGCACCCATTGGGATAAATCTCCTCAGCCCTGTGTAAGTCTTTCCCAAACACTTCAAGATGATTTCCCTGGGTTGGAGTCTCTGCTCAGTTAAACCCCCCTAGACACCCTTTTTGCTTGGATGATGTGAGTGGTTGCTTCTTCTCTTCATCCCCTCTTCTCCCTGCAGGGGAGCCAGGGCAGCTGGTGGGTCGCATTGTCAAGAGCAACCCCCTGCAGCACTTCGATGGCTACCTGAACCAGTCAGCCACCAACAAGAAAATCGCCAGGGATGTGTTTGTAAAAGGGGATGCTGCCTATCTCACAGGTAAGGCCAGCAGGGCCCCTCTGTCTGCTGGGAGTGGAGGAGAAGGGCACCTGGGTGTGGGTGTGGACTGTCCCAGGCTAGTGGCACTGCCCTGAGATGCTCCAGCATTGCTCCTAGTCCCTCTGACACCTCATTTTTTTCGCTTATTCCTTCCTTTCCCATAGGGGATGTGCTGGTGATGGATAAATATGGCTACATGTACTTCCGTGACCGCACTGGGGACACGTTCCGCTGGAAAGGGGAGAACGTCTCCACCACAGAGGTGGAGGGAACGCTGAGCCGCATCCTCAACCTGACGGACGTGGTGGTTTATGGGGTGGAGGTCCCAGGTAGCTGAGAGGGAAGAGGACAATCAGGGGAGGCAGACAAGCCTCCAGCACTTGAATGCAAGCGTGTCCTGCGTGTCCAGATCCACGTGTCCTTTTGCAAGAGGGTGGACCAAGGCTCCCTGTGGGCGAGCTGGGAAGAGGCCACAAGGGATGGGCCTAGTGGGAACCAGAGGGTTCCCTCCCTCTCTCAAGCTTTGGTCTGATTCTGGCTGGTTTGGAAGGACCCTGTGTCCCTTCTGGACAGGCTCCTCTGAGAGGAGGTGACCATGACCACAGGGTGTCGCTGGTAGCCTTTGCCACAGGGTGGTGACACAGCTGGACCTGCCAGCAGTTCGGGACTAAGCAGTCTGTGCCAGAGGCCTTGCAGATGCAGGGCAGAGGGAGATAACGCTACGGGGACAGTGTGTCTGAGTGCTCTACCTCCTCTGCCTTTTAGGGATTGAAGGAAGGGCAGGAATGGCAGCCATCGCTGACCCAGAGAACTCCTGCGACCTGGAAGACTTTTCCAGCAAACTGAAAAAGGCGCTGCCACTGTACGCGCGTCCCGTCTTCCTGCGGTTCCTGCACGAAGTCTCCAAGACAAGTGAGCCATGGCGTGCACACTCCTTGGACAAGGAGCTGGGAGAGCCTGAGAGGGGGGAAACCTGGGTACAGAGATCAACCTGTAGGGTGGGGATGGAGCCCCTTTGCCCCCCAGAGCCCCTGTTCCTCAAGTAGTTTCAAGGCATGGGGTGCAAGACTGGATCTGGGGTGGCACAGGTGCAGTGGGGATGAAAGTATGTGTGGCCAGTGACCCCTTATTCCTTCTTCTCTCCCTGTTCCAGGCACTTACAAGTTCCAGAAGATGGAGCTGCGGAAGCAGGGCTTTGACCCCGCAGTGGTGAAGGACAGGTTGTATTTTCTGGACTCCAGGCAAGGCCGATACCTGCCACTGGACCAGGCAGCGTTCGGCAGGATCCAGTCGGGAGACCAGAAGCTGTAACCGATGGGGCTCAAGGAAGGCACCTCCCAGATCCTGCTGGGGAGAGGGGGCAAGGCAGGCACTGGGGAAGGAAAGGTTCACGGAGCGATACAAAGGCACGCTAGAGATTTTATTTGACGAGTTTTACAGATAAGGGTTTGGGGGGAACACAGAGGGGACCGAGGGGAGGGGGAAGGTCACATACCAAAGCATTGACTCATTATGGCTTTATTTTCTACTTGGTACAGCGGTGGTGGTCCCATGCCATGAGAGGGGCAGGGCCCTGGCCAGTTGAGGAGGGGTGGGGTGCCCCTGCCATTCCACTTTGCTTTTCCTGTCTTTTCCCTCTCTTTTCCTGCCTGCAGCAACCCTTCCTTGTGAAGGCCATGAAGGGACCAGTGCTGAGCTCTTTCCCACTCCTCCACCAAGCAGCCAGCTCCTCCTTGGCACAGGGACCCCACTGGCAGAGGGAAGCTGGGTGCCAGGCGCAGCCCCTGCCCTCTGCGTGGCCCTGCTGGTGTCGTGTGTCTGCTGTGAATCAGGGGAGCAGGGTAGTGTTGGGCTCAGGAGGGGGACAGGGATGTGCTTCTGCCATGCCTTTCTCTCTCCTGGGGGTGACATTTCTATTTTTCACAATCACACGCACATTATATTATATTATATATATATATATATATTATACACGCTGACTTTTTATTTCAATCTTAATTTATTATCTATACTTTTGAATGTGTCCCGGGCTTGTGCAGTAGGTGGAAGGATAGCCCAGACCTGTCCTCTCTTGGATAGTCCTCCTCTCTCCTCTTCCAGCGTGGATGCAGCTGGATATGTCCTTGTGGCCTTGCTCTATGGTGGAGGACATGAGCAAATCCCACTATCTTGTGGACACTTCTCTGGGTCTTTTACTTCCATCTTTCGTGGATGCAGCCTTGTTTTGTGGACCTTCTTCCTGGCAGAAAGCAAGGAGGAGAGTGGGAAGAAGGGCCTGGTTGGCCTTTGCTTAGACATGCTCAGCACCACGGAGCAGCTCTCAGGGCTTTCCTGCCGTGATGTCAGTGCCATGGATGTGGGAGAGAACGTCCTCTGGAGGGTGGCTTCTGCTAGAGCCTGACTTCATGTGCTCTGCATCCCTTCCCAAAAGAGCCCTCCCTGTCTCCAGCACCGGAGCCGGGCCCTGAACTGAAATGTCCGTGTGAAACACCTGACTTGTGCTATGTGAATTCCCCGTGTTGTGTCCGACGTGAAACAGCCTCAGCAGCGATGTCCGATTCCAGTCCTCGGAGACCATGCAGAAATGTCTATTCCAGAGAAAACTCTGGGATGGGGTTTCTTCTTCTTTTTTTTTTTTTTCTTTCTATAGTTTGTTTTTATGCTTTTAGCAGGGTTACTCCTTAAAACAACGTCTGTCTTTTGTGAGGGCAGGGTGTGTCTGCTCTTCTAGCTGTGCTTCCACACCAACGTTCCTGCCTGCCCCAGTCTGTCCCGGTCTCACAATTAAACACGAGTATGGGCTACGCTGGAGTTTCCTACCTCTTCCTTGTGCAGTCCTGCTCTGTGGGGGGAGACAAGAGACTGTGCCAGTTTGGGAGCTGGGAACTGCCACTCCAGAGCACCACCTCCCTCTGTGGACTTTGGCTCATCTCAGAGCAGGGGGAACAAGCCCCTTGCTGCTGGGTTTAATGACTGTGAAAACAGCCTGTTGATCAGACCCTCCCCAGTCCCCTCCACCACCTCCCCACTCCCCCTTTCTCCTGGTCCTGTTCTCAGCATTGCCATCCCAGTTTGTCCTGCTCCAGTTCTCCCTGGCACATCTGGCTTGTCCACCCCTCTCCTGTTCCCTCTTTCCTCTTCCTGCAGCTTCTCTCTGTGTTTGGCTACTTCAACCTCCCAGTTCATTTCTGCCCTTGTAGACAAGTTTTTTGATACCCATTCCCCATCCCTTGCTTCTAGAAACATCCTTTAGACCCTTTGCCTTCAAATGGTCTCCTGGTGCCAGGAGAACCCAGCTCCTTCTTGGTACATGGGTGCCAGGAGAAATGTCTTCCAGGAGCCTGAGTGAAGTGTGTTGCCTGGTGGAACACACCGTGGGTAAAGTGCTGGAAATTTGCATCCATTATATACGAGATGCACTTTTGGACATGTTCCAATGAGTGGCTTCTCCATCATCTCTAAGCTAAAAGCCTTTCATCTCAATCCTCTGAACACAGTGACTTGCCAGTCTCTGTCCCAAAGCAGTGGGGAAACTCGGTGGAAAACCAGCCTTACCCCCACAGCCCTGAAGAGCCCTCAAACAAGGTGGCTTTCCTTGCTAGGGGGGGTCATCTGTAGGGGCCTGGGGGTCTGGTGCAGGGTGTGCAGTGGTGGCTGCCGCCTCTGCGGGTGCTCTGGTCCCGCCTTGGGATCCTGTTCCTCTCGCAGCCACCGGAGGAGGGCAGGCTGGGCTCGGCAAACGCCTCACCCGCGAGGATAACACAGCTTCATGCGCTCCCCAGGGGTCTCACAGCTCGTGTGTGATGTTCAGAACCCTGGAAGTGTGGGGTGCTGAAGCACGGGGGTTACCCACTCAGGGAGCTGGGCAGCCCCTGTCTGAGGTGGAGGGGAAATTCTGGGTCAAGATGATGGTGTTGGGCATGAAGCCAGTGGCAATCCCAGGTGCTGGTATCCACTCCTTTCGGGTTCCTGATTGGATCTGTGCCTGATGGAGACTTGGGCACTGAGCTGTGCCAGGTGGGTGGTGGGCAGCGACCTGAACCACCCAGCCTCACTCTGCTAGAGGGAATAGGGGAAAATTTGGCCTCCCTCAAATCAGGCCTGAGGGTGGTTGTCTGGAGATGGATGGTTTGAAGTGGTACAGGAGGATATGGGAGAGCTGTGCTCCCTTCCTGGAGGAGATGTCGGTGCTGCCCTGCACACCAAGCTGCTCCAAAGGAAGAGGGGCTGCAGGAGCAAAGCTCAGCGCTGCATTTCTGTCTGTTTGAGAGCAGGTTAGGTTAAAAAAGCCATGGAAATTCTGCATTCAGGGCACTGCCTGTTAAGTGCAGGTGCAAATAGCTTTGTAAGATCATGGAAGTATGGCTGTTGTTTGCAAGTGAGCCTGTACAAGTGGAGCCCGGCTTGTGTTGCTGGGCTTTAGAGATGGAAGGGGGTTAGAAGCCTGTGAGAGAAGCAGGATTTAGCACTTCAGTGCTGGGGGGTTGGTCCCTGCTGGAGATCTGGTGGCTGGGGACAGTTCCTTAGTGAGGAGGGTTGTGTTGCACTTGGCAGTGCTTCAAGACTCCTTGCAACACCCAGCTACACCAATCAGAGGTTTTCCGCTGGCTGTCAGCTTTGAGTTGAAATGCTGGAGCCTTTTTAAAGTTCCTCTGGAAAAATGAAGCCTAGATGCAAGTGTCCCTGAAGCTCTCAGCCCAGGAATACAAGTGCAGGTGTGGTACCAAGCCTGGGATCAGTGCTGAGACACTTCCATCAGAGAGGTGTTCAGAAAGAAGTAGACAGTGTTTAATCATAGTCTGATTTTTTAAAATTTTTTCTTATTAGTGCAGTTTTAAGAAAGAGGCTAATTGGATCCTCTATGATTAGAGACACTTTGCAAGACATCTCTCCCCTTTGATCAATATGCTAGTCTGGCTCAGCAGATAAAAGTGCTCTATATGAAGTATGAGGTATTATTCTTTTTTAATTAAAACACTTAAAATGCTGTTTGCATGAGGTTAAGAAAACATTAAAATCCTTTCCTGGGTTATTATCAGGCTATTAATTTAAGCAAAACCAAAGAGCTTTACAAACCAAATGTACTTTTCCCCATGGAGATGAGTGCTTCTCCCAGACTCTGTGTCCTGGACAGTTAAAATAATATCAAGAAAAAAATTTCCCCAACTTTCTTTCTGATCAGCATCTCTTTCCAGGTCTAGGTCCAGCTCAGCCAGGCCACGCTCGGTGTGCAAAACTGGAGTGTATTTTAGCTTTAAGGCAGGTGGGGGCTTTGCAAGTTGCTCAGGACCTTTCTGGGTGAAATTAATTTTTGCTGCTGACCAAGTCTGTGACAATCTTTAACGTTGCATCTCTCCAGCCTCCCCCTGCCACTCTTGGTGTGCCGGAGCCTTCCCAAACAATGACAGCCGCCTGCTCCTCCGCTCGCTGGGGAGCTGGCTTTGCCTTTAAACAGAGACAGGGAAATATTCTCAGCTAAAGAAGGGACTGTCCTTTGGTGCACTCTTTAGAAATGGAAATACTCGATTCCCCCGAGTGGTTTCAGTGTAACCAAGAGCAGGGCCAGGGGCGGCTTCTCCCCCTGCAGTCTGGAGGGGCTGCGTGGCTGGGGATTCCACCAAAATGATGGTCTGTGCAGATCTCATCATCCTGTGTGAGAGGGAAGGGACAGCAGCCTTCCTTTCCAAAGCAGAGGGGCTGTATGAGGGAAGCAAATGTCCTTAGGGCTGCTGAGCTCCTGGACAGCACGGAGGGCTGGGCTATGCAGCAGGGCGAGGCTCAGGGAGCAGGGACCGGTCCTGCTCTGCTGGTTTTGAGCCTGGCCCATTTCAGTGGCAAATCCCACCTTCCAAAATAACCTGAGGTTTGACCCGCTTTTCTCCTGGTTAATTAAAAATCTCATCTATAGGCAAAAATGATACCAGGCCAGGCTCTGGGAGAGCTTTGGGTAGTTTGGATCAAGCGGTACAGGCTGGCAATACCAGGAATTGCAGGCAGTGGTGATGCTGTCTGAGGCCAGGGCATATTGCTGCTCAGAATGGGGGCGGGGGTGTCATTGCCCAGATCTTCTCTGATCCCTTGCCAAATGATCCCAGCTTGTGAAGTGGGATATGACCCCCTAATATGCCGCATCCCCCTCCTCGGTACAGCCCTGCCTTCCTCTAGCCCCATCCGTGAGGGTGCTGAGCATCCCTCCCCAGCGCCCCCAGCATCCTGCCAGCCCAGGCAGGAGCTGTGCTCTGATCCTGCCCTCGAGGTGACACCTTCCACGACCTTCACAGGGCTGTGCCAAGGGGCCTGAGGAAGCGAGGGCAGCGAGAGCCTTTCCTCCTCGCCCCCGGCCATCCAAGTGGCCTCCGGCTCGGCCGCAGGAAGAGGCCAACGGCGGCGGGCGAGCCACCTCCTCAGCTTTGAGTATCACTTTCAGCTATTCTGAAGGTTAAACGCCTGTTTAGAGCTCCCTATTGAAGGTAGAGCCGGGGGTGCGGCATTGTTCGGGCGCCCTCCCGCTTTGTCTGGCCGCTTTCAGGGATGCCCTGAATGGGAAGCGGCCCCCCCAGCCCAGCACCCCGGCAGAAGGGCTCCTGGGGGAGAGGCGCTTCCTCCCGCCCTAATGACATTCAGGCCTCCATCGGTTCAGCTCCCGCTTTCTTTCTGCTGCAGTTTAACCCGGGCACAGAGGCCGGGCTCCATCTTACTGATCTCTGCTTGACACCCAATTACCACATGAATGGGAGAGAAAGGCTGCAAAAGGCTTTAACTCCCACTGACCCTCCTTCCCCTCTGCCTGCTTCCCCCTCTCCCCGTCCTACCCCCTCGCCTTTCTCCGGCGGAGGGAGTTCAAAACTGAGACGGGGGAAATCAAACAAAGCCCCGAGTAAGGAAACCCATTGTCACCGCCTCCGCGATGGCTCCCCTTTCGCCAGCTATTGTTCCCCTTGAAGTTTGACTTGCTGTGTGGAAGGATGCAAGCAGCTGTTTGTGCATTCCCCTGATGTTTTATTGAAAAATAATTGAATCGTCAGTTCGGGGCTCTCTGATAAAATGTTTCCTTGTGGCGCTGGGCCCTGCTGTATTTATAAACTGCATTTCCCTGAAGGACGTGATGGCGACCTAAACCATTTCCTCCAGAATAAACCCTCAGCGGAGGGACAGAGGCATGTTCCTGCTTGCACTCAAGGGCAGAGAGAAAGCGTGCAAATGGCAGGGGAAAAAACACAGGAGACAGGACTGAGACAAAAGAAATTAACCTGTCTTTATTGCCAGGCTCAATTTCCAACCTGTTCCTTTGTCTGGCGCAGTGGGTTTTGTGGGAAGGGAGAGGTGGGTGCAGCCAGAGACCCTGGGTGGTGGCCTCCTGCCCCACGTAACTGGGATGAGCCCCATGGGTGCCTGGGTCCTGCCCAGTGCCATTTCACACCTGGGAGCAAGTGAGGGATCTGTCAGGATCTGGAAAACTGGGTATCCAAAGAGAAGTTCAGCTTAAGTAAAGCACAGTGACACATCGCTGCGTTTGAAGGAGGAGATGGTGTGTTACAAGGAGCTGAACCCAGTGTACATATCCAAGGCAGGAGCCTTGTCTGTACCTGGTTTTGCTTTATGTAGCTGTTAATCAAACACCATCCCTGTTTACAGCACTTTAACAATGCCAGCATTACCCTTTCTTGAGGAGATGGTGTGCTTGCTTTCCCCATCCCGAGCATACCCAGAGAATTTGTGGTGCTCTGATTTCAGCACCCAGTACGGAGACAGGACCCACTCCCAAGCACACAAAACATCCCCCATATCTCTTAGAGTCACTGTT